CCGCTAAGTGTTCAGCTCACATTCTATGCAAGAATAACAGCCACCTGCTGGAGGCTAACAATACCCACCGGCTAAACTTGCAAGGAGCCAAGAATGCATTCACATGAACCCAATACCTTATCCACAGCAGCAAAGGAATGATACTGCGCATGCCAAGTGAATGTCCACTCATCACAAACAGATACAACCACATATCACCTTTAGCGTGGTTACGTAAAGGTCGGGACAGCATGAGACAGTGCTTCAGTAGATGCGGTGTGTTTACACCCGAGTGTTGCACTGTGTTTATGGAGGTGTCATGGGGATAGTGTCAGCACAAACACCAGACACATCTTGCATAATCCAGCTGAAGAAATGGAAGGAATGTTAATGCAAAAATGATAAACACTTTACTTTTAGCACATCCTGCACAAACATACACACGCAGAAAAGCATCCATGTCAGCGATGAGAGTGTCACTCTTTTTCACCACAGCTTTCTCGATGCTTTGATGTACATGTGGGAATCACAGAGAATTCAGAAAGAATTAGAACTGCAGTTAAACAGTTATTTCAAATCATACTATGCCCATATTTTACTTTCTCAGACGGTCCAGACTGTGCTCTAATTGCTTCAGCTTGGCTCCTCTCTCTCGTAAATTACAAAAGCGTGTATGGTAGCGTTTTACCCTCAGTCGGGCCGCACTCACCCCCCGGTTTGCTAAAGAGATATGTTGTTTGCTCTGTCCTGTGTAAACTTGCAAATACCTTCCTGACTGATGTCAAGAGATGCTCACGGCAACATGTACAAATGTTGGTGAAAAAGCGATGCAGAAAAGGGCGAGAGATTTCCTAATAGGGTTATTTTTTTCCCTTTTAATTTTACAGCAGGCTATCTGAGATTTTGGTTGTTTCAACATTTTTGTAGTGAGACAATACAAGGCTTGTTTTATGGGTATGACCTGATTGTTTGGATATGTCAATTTACTGTGTATGGGGCAACTAAAGTACAGGTACCTCCTAATTTTATATAATTCAGAGGCTTTTCAATAAATCCTATTATTCTATTGTAATGCTTAGATATTGGCGACAGTGTGTCAGAGGGGTGGTAATTAAACCTGATTATGATTTAGATGCCTTTTGTGATGATGCATTTGTTGTACTATAAGCACTTCTGGCAATTCAGTCAACACATGTACAATCTATAAAAGCTGTCATTAGTACAGAATAAAAGTTAATACTAGGAATTAGGATTAAGTTATTTCCTATCATAACCTGAGATTACACCCACACAAAAGAAAAATAAATCTTAGACAGTTGCCTCGTACTGCCTTTCCTGTAATCTCTATTTAGAGTTGCATGTGTGTTCATGTCTACAGGTAAGTGAGAAGACTGTTGATACTAGAAGGTTGTTTTGCAGTCTGAATTTATATTAGAGCAAACACTGGTTACATGTCCTGGTAACGAGTGGAAAAGTAACATCCGCTAAAGTGCAATCTCAAAACTACCGGTTAACCAAAGTTATTATATGTAACTAAAGATAAAATAACAATTAAAACTATCCATCCATTCTCTTCCACTTATCCTTATTAGGGTCATCGAGAGGCTGGAGCACTATCCTAGCTACAATGGGTCCACCCTGGACGGGTCGCCAGAATATCGCTAACAAGTCGCGCTCACATTCACATCTATAGGCAATTTAGAATCATAAATTTACCTATCCATATTAACTTCATGTCTTGGACTGTGGGAGGAAGCCAAAGTACTCAGAGAGAACCCACGCAAACATGAGGAGAACATGCAAACTCCACACAGAGAGGCCCCGGCCAGGTAGTGGATTCAAACTTGTAGTGAGGTGACATTGCTAACTACCGTGCCTCCGTGCTGCCCCACAGTTAAAACCAGTTTTTACTAAATAAAATAAAAATAAAATGTTAGCCAAAGTTGTTAGCCAAAGAGTAAGCACTTATAATCCTTCGTTTTAAAAAATATCGTAACCAAGATTTACAAAACAGGCTTTATTTTTTTATCTACTATGACTCAAAATGTGTCATAAACCCAACAGGAAAGTGTTCCCAAAGGTCAAGGGAAATCTGTTTATCTATAAACTTCTATAATACTTGAAGTCTTTTTGCAGCCACAGCCATCACCATCTGGTGGCCCTGAGATAGAATGCAGGTTTAACCCTTCTTCACTGGCTTCATTTTTCCACCCAGAAGCTTTGTTCATCTTTGATAAAGTCTACAGACCTGACAAATACCAACAACCTGTCAGTGTTAAAAATGAGTCTAAACTGAACTGAAGCATTTAAAATAAATAAAAATAATCAAACAGTCTTGGCCCAGATATCTGCTGGCTATATCAGAACCCCTGTCCTCTCCAGAGGCTAAACCCACCAGAAATAGCCAATAGGTTGCCAGATTGCCTTTCCTGTTTTCTTTTAGGAAAGGCCAGTGGATTTGTATTGTGTAGGTAAAAAGATTAAGTGGGTGTCACAACATTTTATGTCTGAAAGGACCCCTGCAACTATGAACTACTGAGATACCCTTCACCAAGTCTTCATCTCTTTGGCCTCAATCAATCACTCCACGGGGCCACCACTGTAAAAGGCCTTCTATTAGGCACAGTGAAAGCTGTGTTTACCCAAGCCTAGTGAGTTACCTTGGGTTACTGTAGGAATGGAGGTTGTGGAAACTGCTGGCTACAGACATAATAAATCACACATCACTGAGGATGTTGATATGTACCCTTTAAATGAACCAAGAACTGTTCTTATGTTTTTTGACGGCAGGGAAGATAAACAGCACACAGCAATGTCAACTGTGGCATTGCAACAGATAAATCGTGAAATTAATATATATATATATATATTAAAGTAACTCAGACACTTCTGTAAGGTTACAAAGTTATGCTCTATGTCATTTTAACCAGTTTTGACATAGAAAGGCTTGCTTGAATGTAGGCAATGGCTATGCAAGGCTGACAAAATCATTAAGTGAGCATGCAAGGGTTTTAGACACACGTCTCACTCGAAGCGTGTCCCCCACTGCTCCCTCTTGTCCTGGCTTTTCACCTCCCAGACCCCCCCTTCTGACCCTTTTGATGGGGTGAAGGGATCTAGATCTTTGGAACCAGCTAATTAGAGAGTTTTAACGTCTGCTTTGCTAAGCCCTGAAAGCTGAGGGACATTCCTACAATTGGAAGATTGAGTATGTGTGTCTGTGTGGTCCAGATATTACTAGTGTTGTGGGGACCTAAATCTGTTTACTCAGTAAGATTATGGACCAATTTGGAGTGGAGGTCATAGTTACATCATTCTGGTGGCAGAATCTAGAAACAAGTAAAGGAACACCAGTGAAAGCCCCAGAATAGGAAAACATGTCTCGTTTTTTGCTGCTGTTCATCAAAAAATATCGAATGTATTTTTCTAGAATAACATGATAGAAGTGGACCTCTGAATGGAGACAGATTGTGACACAGGTCTAGTTTCTGTGCAAGTCTTACCCAGACTAATGCAAACTAAGGTTTTGTTGCACGGCCTATAAATATTAAATGGCATGTATAGAGTCAGAGGAAGAAGCTGTACACTTAGTGTGCGTGTGTGAACTGGGAGCCTAACTGAGTGTCCAACTCAGTGATTCTCAAAGATCAGGTTGCAACACTGTTATGTGTGTGAATGTGTGTGTGAATGGGTGGATGACTGGTTGTGTAAAGCGCTTTGGGGTCCTTAGGGACTAGTAAAGCGCTATACAAATACAGGCCATTTACCATTTTTTATCTATAGAGTTGCAACCAATCTCCAGCCACTTGATCGGAAAGATAGTAAGTGCACTCAGTTTGGCAACCTTTACTGTATTTTTGCTAAATGTTAAAACCTAGAGCCTTCACGGCTGTTCACCGGATGAAGCAGGTGACCAATATACTGTAAGGCTATTCCAGAATTCCAGGTTCAAATATGCCCAGGGACATTTACTGTGTGTCCTCCCCTCCTCTCTTTCCAAACCTTCCTGTCTTCAGCCCACTATCTCATCATACATCTCAATGGAAGCAAAAAAAGTCTTCACCCCCAAGCAAAAAGATAACCCAAGACCCTTCCTCTTTGCCAAATACTTGCATTGGGTATTTCTCCACCATGCCATTCTGTTTCACACCTGCAGAGGATGTTAACTGCATCAGGTCTTTATGTCTTGAATTACATGCCTGAGATTGGGATTCTTAGTAGCTATCTCATCTATTCTAGCACCACCGAGTAACTTAACCACTATACCACTTTAGTCATATGATAGGCATATTTGTGTCCTTGACATTTTACAATGAAACACCCGTGTCAGCTCATGTCTTGCGAAATAGGCCTCAGGACTAAAATCTGGAAACAATGGCCCCAGTTTAACCAGTGTTTCGGAAGTTAAGAGTAGTGCCTGATTTGTAGTGTGCTGTTGTGGCTATAGAGGCACAAGCAGGTTATCGACTTATTGAATGGCTGGTTCTCCAACCCCTGGCTCTTCAGTATGCCCAAGTATCATCGGGCAGATCACCAGACTGTAAGCTGATCGAGATCGGGTGGGCGCCTTCTGTGGCAGCTCCATTACAGCTGGCATGTGAACAGGTGACTCACATTGTAAAGTGATTAGTTCGAACACTTAAGCTAAACGCGAAGACTATTTCCTGTTACAGTTTTTTTTTTTGGCATACTGTGAAAGAAAAAAAACTATTTTATGCTAGAAATGTACCTTTTTATATGCAGGATATTCTTTATATATTCATTAACATTTATTTGATCTTTCACCTTGAAAAATTAGATGTTTTATTGTCACTGCTTTTTAAGTTTAAATGTTAATGTCAGTTTATTTTTTGCTATTTTTGTCTATTTTCTGGCTTTTTAGTCATTTTCAAAAATATTTTCATATTTTAACTGCCCGTGTGTTTTAGTCATGTCAGTGACATTTTGCTAGAAAATGTGATCAGTCAGTTAGAATCTGGAACCTTGTTTTGATTTCTATATACATTCGGGTGCTGACTTACCCCACTCTTAGGCTTTGCTCCAAGGGCTTGTGGAGATCCTGAAGACAAAGCAACAGCAGATGCAGCAACAACAGCAGCATGTGGATGCGTGGGTGGTTGCGACGTTGCTGAAGAGGATCCTAAATCAAACTCCTGCACAAGTAAAAAAAACAAATAATATAGTTCACTGAGAACACCGAACTGCTGCACAGTTTCAAATATAGAAAAAACTGCTGTCACATCCAGCTAGATAACTCAGTTGTGTGGGTACCGGGTGATGCCGTCGATGGAAGGTGGCTGTGCTGTCCATGGAGGAAGTAGCAATGAGGGCATTCTCAATTTCCTGATCTAGCTGGTCCAACTTCATCAGCAGCAGCACCATCGAGTCCAAGCGAGCATGCCCACGCTGAGACAGATCAGTGGAGAACAGTCAAACTCACAAAACTATTAAGGCCAGCATTAAATGTGCCAAAATCAATATGTTCCACTTCTCTAAGGAAACTTTTTTCTCCAGTGTCATCTGTGATCTGTGACCAGATGATCAGGAAGAGAACAGAAATATGAAATATATATGTGAAATGTAATTAGAAATGTGACCAGAAAAGCCAAAAGTCAGTACTATACAGTAAGATCAGAACTATTCACAGAGTCAGTGACTTTGTTTTTAAAGGCTTATAACTTTTAAGCATGATTTCAAGTACAAAATACATCTAATTGTTCCTTTGTTCTTTGTTCCTCTGTGTTCCCCAGCAACCTTCCACTTCAGCCAATTAAAATAGATGATTTACACATTGTGGCCATTTAATGGCTATCTCTTTTGTTTCGCCTCTGTCATTACTTTAACACTCCACTTATTTGCCCTTTAATCTGCTGTGCTAATTTATCCATCTTAGGGCTGTGATAACAAGTCTCATACTGACCTCAGGTGGTTTGACTTGTGCAAGACAAGCAGACCGACATGCTACAATCCAGCATTGCATCACACTCCACCTACCACTCTGTCCTCTGCTAACCTTAAGCTCTATGTTGTTTTCATGCAATTTGAGCAGGAGTAAAACGTGTAATATCCTTTTCTTCGCTGCTTAAAGCAGTATGTTTTCATTTCCCTCTGCCTGTCTTATCTTGGCACCGGGTGTGGCTCCCTGTCTGAGCTTTACCCTTGAGAAGAACCCGAGGAAATTTCATGGCTGGCCCATTACCCGCAAACAAACCTTGTTACAATCCCCGCAAACAGATGCTGTTAAACTCTTAATGAGAGTGAGCTCATGGCACGCACACAGCCAATGTGACTGTATGCTTACGCAAAGCTACAAAAACAAGTGGATGTGAGGCTGGCTTTCATGCCTGGTTTGTCTCTACATGCAGTACCTTGAAGAGGAATCTTTGGGTTATGCACTTTTTACAGATCATAAATGTGTCTGCTGAAATGGTCAGCATGGCTTAATCATAAATGTGCTAATAGAGTCAGCATACTAAAGGTAGCCTCATCCCTGCGCATGGCTTCCGGCTCCAAACCTAATAATGTCTTATGACTGCTTCTACATTTATTTTCCAGTTAGTGCCCAATTTGGCTGTCAAAGTCAGATCCTATCGGTTTGCTGAGAGCGCAAATAGACATGCCATGTGTGTCGGGGAAATGTACTCCACACTGATGCATTCACTGACATTTCTAGCTCGTGGCAGAGCGCAGCGCGCAGCGTGCAGCGCTACGGTCCCATCTTCTTGGCAAAGTATCACAATGAAACATTGTACCGTTGTAAAACAATGACATCTTTACGAGGCCTCGCTGAATGAACAAAAGCATCTGGCTCGGGATGGCAAAAACAACCACAAAACGGCAGAGTGAAAAACAAGTGCAAGCGTAAACTTCAGTTGCCTCGGAGGCAACGTTTTTAGGGGCATTCTGGTGGTTTGGGTGTTCTCAGAAGGTTTCTTTTCTGTCTTTCCCATTTTTGAGGTTTCTGTCACATTCCACTTAACTTCCTGTTTTTTTGAGATGGGAGATGTTTCCCACACTGTTTGAACTCTTAGATCCCTCCTTCCCCTTAACTTGCTCTTTTTTCAAGACCCCTCAGTCGCCTGTCTTACAGCCAGTCTGCATCCCATTTCTCAGACCTCTGCAGTGAGTGGGCTCTCTTAATTAATACAGACAAAGAGGCCAAAAAGGAAAAGAGAGAGCACTGAGGGTGATGCTGCCAAGTTGTCTGCTGACTGTTGAGCCAGTTTGGCCTTGGGGTCAGGATAAGGCCTTGTTGCTAAAACAAATAAACACAGTAACAAAGCCCAATATCAGCTTAATCTCAAGCCGTTATGCAAACCAGATGGGTTCGTTTTACAAGCTGAATCTGTAACAAAAACTTGGTCTACTGGGGGATGCAATCATTAGTCAGTACAATATCTTGTCAGAGATCATTCCAGGCTGCTTCTGTCATTATCCACTAAAGAAACTAACATAAGCTCAGTAATTCTCTTCGTGATATTGAAAACACTCTTCTCCCATTTTTTATGTCCCGTTGGATAAAGCTATACATTTTTAATTTATATTTTATCAGTATGGTCTTCTATACGGCACATTTCCTGCGCTAAACTGGACACACAAATCACGTTGCTGTCAAAGATGAGGCAAGCCATTACCATATGGTAGATGAATTGTTGGCTTCTTCCACTGGCTTAACTGCTCTTTTCAAGTTCCAAAATCCTGCTTTTTTGGTGGGGTATTTAAAGTCATCCTAAGTTTGAAATTAGAGCCAGGGGAAAATGTGGCACTGGTTTTCCATGTCTCCCTGTTGGAGTATGACCTATTGTTTTTGGCAGTTGGTGGACTGACTTCAACATTAGTCATGGCTAAAAGTGGCTCCAAAGTTTCTAAAAAAATTTATGTGGAAATAATACTATGATAATCTTTAGGATTACACAACCCATAGGCTTTTCAGGAACACAGCAATAACCAGAGTGTCAATATATGACACATAAACCACTCAGCACCAGCTGATTTTAGGGTTTCTATTCTAGACTACAAGCCAAATATTTTTTTTATTGTATGCCTGCATTTTATTCTACTATTAGGAAGGGGTTGTGGTATATTATTAGGGTCATGGCAGCACACATCAATAGATTTATATACAAAACAACTGAATATGACCAAACAATAGCACAATAATCAGCACTATTTTCACATTATGTAAACTATAGCCAACAAGCTATAGTTAACCATACACTGCACAGTTGCACATGGACTCCTTTTGTTTCAACAAATAATGAATGAGTAGTAATAACATAACTTATGTCATCACATGAGAAATTATAATTGCTAACAATACGGTATATTCAAAAATAGAACCCAACCGATATATCAGCCATGCCAATACCAGCTGATATTGGCTATTTGCCGATACATCCATTTCAACATTTATAACAGGCGATACATGTAAAAAGTAAAGAAGATTCAGGAGAAATACTCTTCAACCATGTTATGGGTAATAATGCAGCAAACTTTGCCCACCACTCTTAACTTCACTTATGGCAACATGTATCTGGGGACATCACAAACACAACAGCCAGTGGATTAGAGCAGAGTCAAGAGTGAACGAATAATCTGCAACTTGTGACGGAAAAGTAGGGACCCATCAATAACTACACACAACAAGTGTTAGGGAAATCTATTTATACTTTGTATCTCTCAACGAATAAATATCAATTGGCATATCAGATATTTAAATCACCAAACACTGGTATGAGCCTTAAAAATCCTATATCAGTGAGTCTCTATCAGAAAATATCTGTGTGGCTCTTTGAAGTTACCTTGGCATTCTTATAAATGGTGTTA